GGGGGGGGGGGGGGGGGGTCGGAGGGGCGTGTGGAAATGGCCCACTGCCGGTACCCAGGGAGAGCAGAGACAAGCTAAGAGTTGTGCGAGAAGACAGGAACACTCGTATGGGGTCGTATGGGGGGGGGGACTCGCCGCCGGCGGGTTCTTGCATAGGGACAGCTTGCACCGTTCCTTATGTTCCAGGTGCTCCATCGAATGTTTGGAGGAAAGTTGGGGGGCAAGACACTACGACGGCGAAAAAATAGAAACCGCAAAACACGCAAGAGAAAACAAAGCAAGGACGAGGTGCTGGAGGAAGTGCGGTCCGTGCCCTACAGTTTATTTACAGTTGTGGCACGTGCTTTCCGGCAAATCCGACTGAAACTAAAAAAAACAACAAATGGGTGTTAGGACAAAGTAAATGAGGATGAGGTCTAATGAGGGTAATGTCTTATCACTCTTTCTTCGTCCGACAATACATATGCTCAAGGGGTGTCGGGGTGCTCACCGTCAAAATAAGTGGACCACCTAAAGCCAAACCAATCTTGTCCGAGTTGTACTATGGGGTGCCCGGCGCTATCTATATGTCCGCGTTGTTGCTCTCGGCTGGGTGTTCAATTGAACATCAACAAATGTTCTCAACAGCCACGGCGGTTTGAAAGTCGTTAGCGGCGGAGACCCCGGACACGTCAGCAATCCGTTCTAGGAAAAAACGGATGTTTCAGAGGTGTACCGGGAAGGGGTTACATTGATCCACGCAAGGAAGTTTGTACCCCAACAAAGGGGACAATATTTTCCGTACAGCAGATGGCTCCACTGACTCACACCGGCTGTGGAACGGGCAACGTGTGGGCGAGGTGGAGCAACCAAGAAAAGACGCGTACAACCATCGTCTCATTCGGCATGGAGACGCCAAAGCACACCGACCCGATGACTCGAGGCGCACGAGGGAGATATTACACGAAGCGAATGCTATGAACCCAAGGTGTGACAAACAACGCAGTGGACATAGCAAAGGCAGTGATCGTGCTCAAAACAAGTGACGCTCATATATTAAAAAAACTTGGCTACCTTAAGAAGCGGATGCCATGCGCCCATGATATTGTCCCGTCTCTGCAGCGCTCATTCTTGCTGTCGGAGGTTTCGTGTCCCACTTCCAACCCCAGCCGCGTAAGTGCTGCCGAAATCTCGCTGGTCCCGCTGCCCAAGGACCCCACGATCAACACCTGCTTTTCCTCGTGAACCTGTTGATGTTGGCGTTGATGTTGGTTGGTGTTGTTTGTCATTTCCATCATTCTTTCCTTCCCTGCACGCACGTCATTATTTACCGTAGGCGATCAAAACATATTCCATATTTTCTACCTAGTAGGCTCTGCTACATTGTCGTCGTACGTCATAGCGACGATAAAGGCCATCGGGCATACCGCTGATTCATGCAATCTCCAGTGCCATGTTTCTCCTGTACTGGGCAACACGCCAACGCCAGGAGGCAACGCGAACATTTAACCAATATCTCCCCAGAGCACAGGCTGTCTCACTCTGTACTAAGTCGGGGGAGAAAACGTGAACAAGGATGAGACCTCAAGCAAGGTCTACTCTCTGCGGTGGATGTCAACACCTTGAACGGCTTCAGAGTAGGAACTGACAAGAGTGAAAAGCATTAGCCTTATTGTTGACTACTCGAACGCCATCGAGACACATCGTGCGCTGGTGATTGTGCTCAATTCTCATTTGACCAGACTTGGAATCACTTTGCGCTTTTCATATCCCTCTCACCTCAACCACCGGGCCCATGAGGCCGCTCCTAAGCCGCATCCACTTCATGGATGGAAGAGCCGCTCTTGGTAGCACGGCGGCCAACTGCACAAGGCCACAGACAGCAGGCGGACAAGGGCGCTGTTCGTCTACATGTGTATGGTGGGGAGAGTGATGACGCACGTGAGACGCCTACCGCAGGTTGCATGACGTAAGATATCACATCCCCTGGACCGATTTTCAAAGCTCGAGTACTCCACGACGAAAGAGAGTGCTCAAAATGAAGAGTACGTTTCGAAAAGCTCTCGACGAGACCGTTCCAACGACGCCGTTTTTGGCATCGTCACTGCCTTCCATGCCGAGATGTCGTGCTTCGAAAATCGCGCCAGGGAGTGCGGTATGTTACGCAACCTACGGAACTTGGGACGTGCTTGGAACATGCTGCCGCACGCGGATGACAGTAGCACATTGATGGACGCGTTGGTGACAACAGAACGGTCATTGGTTGAGCCCAGCGTCTTTCTGCATGGGCGACCTTTCTGTCTTGTGCAGTCTTGAGCAAAACCTTACGATCTCACCAGTGATTCTCACGATACATGCACTAACCAAACACCAGCCACCGGCATTTTTGACGCTGTACACGTGCGATGCTCTCCCTCCCTCTACCCCTGCCACGAATCGTAGCATCGTAGCAGTTCCTTGTGACCCGGGGGCTAGACCGCCTTGCAACGAGCTCATGAGAGCCACAACCTCCATCAGCAGGATGGACCCAAACACATCACCAGAAACAAAAACTATTGCGATAGTCCTTGTCGACGTTTGCGGCAACCAGGTCAGGTCAGACTACACAAGGAATCCAGCCAAAGTTGCCAAGCCAATCCGTGCATCCGATACACAGATTACACGTATCATGGCACGCTGAGCTCACTGCAAGCGAGAGCCGAAGCATGTAGACACACGACCAGCGGACGTAGGACAGTTGGTTGCGGACGCACCGTGATAGCGACGAAGGGGTATGCCGCGATAAAGGTAAGCAGCTTGCGAAAATTGCCCCTTTTCTCCTCGCCTCTAGCCGAGCCCCCTGCCAACATCGAGCGCGGCAAGAGAAGATCATGGGTGATTCGAGCCAATGCCAACACGACGATCGAGCAAGAAACTCCAAAGGTTGAGGTTCCGAGGAGGGTCGAAAAGCAAGTCTTGGTGCTGCGAGGCTGGTGTTGCTAATGTCCCGTAGTACGCACTGCTACTGCCTCTCTGCAAGTGTCCGCAACGCTACTCGCATCTGCATCGCACGAAATAGTTGAAAAATCCCACCCCGTGGACAAACGGAGGTACGAGGGAAGCACGCGGGAGCGCACGCGCCAAAGGGGAGCGCATGCCTTCAAGATGTTGCAGTTCTTGCAATATGACGTCCAGAGAAGGAACCGTGCGCACATGTTCGTCCTGAAGCGTAGGCCTTGAAGCCAGCGACTACCGTGAAGAGTGGTACTACTCTGTTGTACTTTATCATATGTAGACAATGCGTCTTCCTTTTACCACACTGCCGGCAGCTGTGACGATAGAGAAACGCCTACTATGCGATGTGGAAATGCAGGAGTGGCCTACTTGTTCGACATGACAATACTACAACACCTTCGGAAGAAAGTATAGGGTGCATTGATGACATATTGAGCAACAAACGCAGCAGCAGCGAGCCAGCGAACGTGCGCGTTGTTCCCAAAGAATACTGCCTGCCGTTGGCACCTCCTGAATGTCTCAAATTCGATAGAGCCAGTTGACTACTGCGTTTTTTTTTTTTTGCGTATGTCGTGAAGGAACATGAAGATACATGGTCGGGATTTATTTTTTTCTGGCAACATACACTCTTCCTTCTTCCCCTCGCTCCTCGACAAGCTTTTGCTTAGACATGGGTTGTAGTGAAGGGGGGGGTCTTTCTGGCGAGCAGGGCTAGACTCACCCTCAAGGGATGACCGAAACCTTCTTGCTGCTGCGCATATCCGCCGCGAGGCATGCGCGTGGTGGTG